GCAAATAAAATAAATAAAAGTAAATAAAATAAATAAAAGTAAATAAAATAAATAAAAGTAAATAAAATAAATAAAAATAAATAAAATAAATAAAATAAATAAAATAAATAAAATAAATAAAATAAATAATAAAATAAAAAAATAATAAATAAAATTAATAAATAAAATAAATAAATAAAATAAAAATAAATAAATAAAATAATAAATAAAACAGAACTGAACTGAACTGAACTCTGGGAGTGGAAATCCACCCAGTTCAAAGCTCCTTGAGGCAGCCCTCACAGCGTCCCTCAGACAAACAAACCTCCTTTGTAAGGTTTGAGAAAGAAACCACGGTTTGCTTCCTCTCTTCTTAGCCCCTCCGAAGCTGCCCCAAAGCCGGACGTGGCTCCAACGGACTTTCCCCAGCCGGCGCCGAGTTCTAATCCTGCTGGCTCTGAGCTTCGTCCTCACCATCGCGGTGATGGTCTTCGGAGTCAAAGGTGAGCGTGTCGCTGGGCCCGAAAACGGCGTCCTATGGCCTGAGCAAGGGCAAAAAAGTCGAGGGGGAGTGAGCGGGCACCACCAGGTGATCACCAACGGGGCATTTTTTTCCCCCTTCCTCAGCCATTTTGTATTTTTCTTCTCCTCAGGACATTTTTACAACATGGAGTTGAAGGAGACGCAGGAGAGCCTGAAGAGCCTCAATGAAACAGTCGGGACGCAGTTTGCCAAGCTTCTGAGGAAGGGTAAACCTCGTCCAGGTTACTTAACAGAGTCGGAAGGGGCCTTGGAGGTCATCCAGTCCAACCCCCTGCCCAAGCAGTATCCTGATTGATTGATTGATTGATTGATGTGGTCTAGGGTCTCCTGCTTTAGAAGACCCCCAAGGTCTCTTTCAGCTTCTATTCTCATTGATTGATTAATTGATTGATTGATTGATTGATTGACGTGGTCTAGGGTCTCTTGCTTGAGCAGGGGGCTGGACTGGAAGACCTCCAAGGTCCCTTCCAGCTCTATCCTGATTGATTGATTGATTGATTGGCGTGGTCTAGGGTCTCCTGCTCGATCAGGGGGCTGGACTAGGAGACCTCCAAGGTCCCTTCATTCCACCTGTGTTTCGCAGAGGACGACGCGGAGAGAGAACTGAAGGAGACGGAAGTGAAAGTGAAGCAGTTGACGGAGGAGTCCAACAGAGGTAAGGAAGAAAAAGGCCCTTCCTGTCAGGTGCCGAAAAACCAGATCCTCGACCTACGACCAGAAACGAGCCCCCACATTTCTGTCGCTAAGCAAGTCCATTGAATTCGGACCCGTTTTACGACTCGTCTTGCCCCCGTTGTTAAGCGAATTGCAGCTGCTGTTGAATGAGTCACACGGTTGTTAAGTGAACCCCGGACGCTCGCAAAGGATCCCCATGTCCATCGTAAGTACATGCCGGGTGCCAAGCGTCGTAATTTGGCTCCCATGACCACGGTCGTGTGAAAAAACATTCAGTGGTCCCTTTTTTCCAGCGCCATTGTAACTGGGAAGGGTCACTAAACGGGTGGCTGTAGGTGTGGGCAACCGGTGTGGCTTTTATCCCTGGTGGAAGGAGCTGAGCCCCGAGGAGGGTGTAACCGCCCTGCCCTTCCTTCCGCCTGGCGTCCCGGGAGGGACGGCTGGGACGCCCAGGGAGCCTTCATGTGGGCAGACTGCCTGGCACCCGTGGAAGCAGCCGCCGGTGGCTTCCCTGGCACGGATGCCTCTTTCGGGACATTTGAAAAGGGAGGGGAGGATTCAGCTCCTCTTAATTCTTTTATTTTTCCCCTTGGCAAACCCCAAGGAAAAAAAGGGGGGGAGGTCTTGGCAGACGAAGCCCCCCCCCAGATTTCATTTCATTTCATTTCATTT